GTTGTCATAGCCCCTAGTCATTACCATTTGTGGAAGTTACGCATATTTAGAATAGGATTTTCAGAACCCTCAGCATCCATCTAATTCTGTCCCTGTTGACTTCAACGGTAAAACTCCCATTGATATAAATAAGAATGGAGTTTGGACAATGCTGAGTGCTTCTGAAAATACCACCCTTAGTTCTCTCAATCTTTCCTCATAAATCAATCCACCTAACTCCTTAATCACTGTCACTTTCTGAATTCCATATGTCTCTTGTAATAAAGTGCCTAGAAATTAGCACAGTAGGTCAGATCATCAGTTGGTATAAACTAATGAAGTCAACTGAGCTATGCCAATTTACGCTAGCTAAGGAGCAGTCACAAGTGCTTAAGTCCCTTCCTGCTCTGTGGCACGATGCATCCATGTATCTAACTCCAAATAGCATTGACCTTTTTTTTTTTTTTTTTGCTAACACTGCACTGCACAAAGTTTGCTGTCCACAATCAGCCCTAATTCTCTATTACAATACTGCTTTTCAAGATTGTTTTCCCATCACATATTTATCCAAGTTGAATTTAATTTAATTATCTAATTTTTTTGGTAATCTACCCATTCTTATTTATCTAGCCATCAGCCACTGTTGTGACTGCATGAGTGTCTAGATATGGCACTGAGTATTTTTTGTTTTATCTGTTTTTTCAGGTGTTGGCGACTCTCTTCGCAATTTTGAATCACTTGCAAATTCTGTTCACGGCTAATGAAAGTATTAAAGACGAAACCTGAGGACATATTTATTTAACAGATATAGCAAAAATGCCACCACCTGCTAGTAAATAAGTTCTATTCCACAGCTGTGGTATAATTGGGAGGTTACAGTACACAGGTGTGAGATCCTAGTGTTTTAAGTGTAAAGGGAAGAAAAAACTTGTAGGGTTCCTGTACACAAACTGTTATCACTATGTGCATTTAGATAAACATTTTCCCCCAATAGGAAGCAGCTATCCTGCAGCTGTCCCATTCTCCTCTCCCACAACAAAACCAACGTCAGCTCCTTGCAAATTGGTTAATTTGCCTCTGAAGTTGAGCCAGCTACTCTCATGTCCCCATATCCCAATTAAAAACTGTTTGGAAATATACTTTGCAATTTAAATATTATATATAGCTTGTAATTTTGTAACAAATTGAAACTTCCAAAAATAATCATACAGGAGGGCTCAGGTCAGCATGACCTTGCCATATATGATTTTTATAGAAACATATTTTCCATATTAAAAAATCTTGTGATGCCTTTCAAATATATCCAACACAACAGAAGAAAACTGAATAAAACCTGGGCGAGCACCTAAACTTGTGTATGTGCACATATCTATATAATATACAATGGTATGTGTGAGCGAGTGATGTTTGGCATGAATGGGGTTTTGCATGCCATCTTTATTCATGGATTTGTACGAATGATAAAAAGCCTCTATCCCTACCTTCTAGATGCCCTGCCCACTGTCACATGTTGCATGTAGATTATAAGGCGCCAGTGAGATGTTTTCCCAGAAAAACAATCTGCACAGTGAGGGCCTGATCCAGTTGCAGTGAAGTCACTGGGAATCTTCCCGTTGGTTTCAGTGGGTGTTGGATGAGGCCCTAAATGTTAATTCACTTCAAAAAATTACAGCAATATTATTTGGCACTAGTGAAAGGTGCCAGAGTGACCCCTGGAGAAGGAAGTTGTTCCAAAGAGTGACCCTGGAGTCCTCCGTCCAGTGAGCAGTACCTCCTACTTGTCTCAGGGAAACTCCTAGAAGGCCTCTTCTACATTAGCGAACTTCATAGTCAGAATTCACTATCAGTGATGCCATGATGGATGCTGAAGTATAGCTAGGATTCTGGTGTTTTCATCACCGTGTTTGTTTCTCAGGGGCTGGCTTGCTTTCTTCCTCAACTGTGTCAGGGAGATCTCAGGGACCGGCACTGGTCCATAGACTGGTCACTGAGAAACACTGCTCTAGAAGACATGGTGGTAAAATTAATACTGTAGTCCTGCCTACATCTGGGCTTTCGCCAACAGTGGAGAGTGATGGCTACACAATTTGCTAGTTTAGATAGCCTTGGGTGAGAGTCTCCATGGTCCGTTCAGTCCTTGGAAGTCTCAGTAAAAAGACAACAAGGAGCCAATTGCTAAACTCAGGGTTGTGAGTTCAATCCTTGAGGGGGCCACTTAGGGATCTGGGGCAAAATCAGTACTTGGTCCTGCTAGTGAAGGCAGGGGGCTGGACTCGATGACCTTTCAAGGTCCCTTCCAGTTCTAGGAGATAGGATAGGATATCTCCAATTAGTGCCAATTATGATGGTGTTTGCTGTGACGTGGATGCCTGTGTGCCATGAACTAAACAAAGGCTGCCAAATTTATTTCACTGGGTAGGTCTACAAAGCAAAAACAACAACAAAAACCCAAAACCTTGTGGAAGCAAGTCTCGGAGCCCAGGTCAACTGACTTGGTCTCACAGGGCTAAAAATAGCTGTGAGGCTGTTCAGCTCGGGTTGGAGCCCAGGCTCTGAGACCCTCCCATGTCACCAGGTTTCAGAGTCCAGGCCTAAACAGCTACGCTGCTATTTTTAGCCCCCCAGCATGAGTCCAAATTGGTTGACCAGGGCTCTAAGAGTTGCTGCTGTGAGGGTTTTTTGCTGTGTAGATGTACCCATAACCCATTAAACACCCATCAGATGGTAGTGTTTATCAATCAGCTCTGTTTTCTATTAGGAGTTCCCTGGGCCATCTATTCCCCCACATTTCTTTTGTTAGTATACTGGGCAAAGAGAAAACGTTTTTAAATGCCACTGGTATAATGCAAGCATAGGTATGTGTATATGAATGTACATTTGTGCACTGCATATACATGCACAGTGATGTATACTCACAGTACTGTATATATGTCAACTAAGGCTATGGCTGATTAAAAGAAAAGTGATTAATTTATAACAAGTTGTTGTGCGGGGCCAAAAAAAGCATTGGTATTTATTTATTTTTTTCAAAGGACACTTTGAGTATTGCAAAACTGGCACTAAAAGGACTCCAGAGAATTTGTGCACTGAGGAAGCTTTGGGGATTTGGACAGAAAAATGTCTGGAATGCACTTCTCTTCAATGGAGTTTTTTCTTTTGGTTATTAAATAAAGTGAATTAATCAAAAATGAGGTGATCATAGGCTTGAAATTCTGGCTCTCTTGTTTGCTTCATCGAACTAAATTAATTACCCTCTCACCCGCCGGCCCAGGTGTAAATTGCTGTCAGGCAGGGACCTTGAGTAAGCTGGCCCCTTGTGATGTAATTGATTTGTTAAGAAGCCCACAGGCCTCTTACTGAATGACTCCTCTGTCTGCATACAGCTTAGGAACAGTCACAATTTTTTTTTTTTTAAGATGTGAAATCTGTCAGCAAAGTGAAGTCAGCTTAAATATCAGCTGAGACTTGAGCCCTTTCAGTTGTGTTGATTTTATCCCCCCTCCCCCCTTGCCAATCAAGTTTCTTTCTGGTTGAGTCAGACTTGCACATAGTTAAAGCTCTTATATTAAACCTCATTTGTGTGGATTCATGTGTGACAAAGTTCAAGTGTCTCTTGTTCACAGCCCTAAGGAGGGTCTGAAATGTTTGGGACGGAGGACATCTATGGTCTCTTGGAACCTCTTTCATTGACTGCTATGTTACAATTCTAAATCACGGTCAGTTGGTCTCTGGTAACGGAAGCAATCTGTGCCCAAATAACTATTCAGAACTGCCAGACTAATTCTATGAGTGGCACCTCCTGCCCCCCAAAAGAGCAGACAGTTGTGTAATGCAATGTGTCCCAACTGACTATCAAAATGTCTGCAAGTTCAGGTTGAGACACTTCCTGTCAGGGTTCTGAGTTAGTTTCTTTACTGAAAACTTGAAGTGTCCCCTGGGCATGGGAAAGGATTTTAGGCAATGTGGCCTATTAAAGTGACCTGCAAAAGCGGGTATGGAAGAGGGGAGCATTTGTCCCCTTCATTTTGTATCATCATGATACATATTTTAAGAAAATCCAGAGAGTTTATTGGGGTATTCTCTATATATTTTTTTTTTTTTTTAACTTTAAGAATGTTAAGTCTTGTCTTCCACTTTTTTCTAGATTCCTTAGGTGAATAGAGAACTTGAAGCAACAATTTTCTCAGCCCTCAGGTCAAAAGCCAGATGGACGTATCTGAGGTCTTCCAACAAACAGAATTTTTCTCTCAACCGTTTCAGTTAAATAGTTGTTAACGTTATAGGTTTGTAAAGTGTGTGGCTGGTCCATATAGAGGACAGCAGCCTACTACATCTGCCAGCTAAATGAGTTTGTCCTCTAACTCATGTGATAGAAGCCTGACCTTTGGAGCAGAAGGTTCCAGATTCCTGGATGACTCTAGGGGACGTTTCCAAATGGTCTGTTCCCTAGTGCATATCACCTGTTTTATCTGTTCCCTCATGGATGATGCTAACAAGGAGGCCCTTTTTCTGTCTAGTAGGATGGAGAGGGACAAGGCCCTTTCTCTGGTCTCCCAGGATATGCTGTGTGGGGAAAGGGAAGCCTAGGTGCCCTCTCCGTTCCCCAGGACATACTGGGGAGTAAGGAAGCAATAGCACGCTCTTTCCATGCCCCAGGGGTGATGGTGTTGGCCCTCCTCTCTGTTCTCCCAGGGTATGCAGTAGATGCACTCTGTCTAGGACATACTGAAAGCAGGAGCAGCCTATCCATTTTGATGGCCAGAGTGGAAAATGTGTTTGGTGCACCCCTTCACAAGTGGCTGACTGTCATTATTAGGAGGAGGATTTCAGGTCCGGAATGTAACACTGATCCCTGTGAGTGCTGGGAAACTCCTTTCGAATATTGGAGTTTCCTAGGGAAGGAAGTGAGATCTAGCATTCTCAGGTCTGACTAGCATCCTGAACGCTGAGGTCTGAAAGTTGCCCTGAAGCCATGTTTTGTTGCAAAGGGTGATGTTTGTTTGTTTTTCCTTCTTTTCCAGAGAAAGTTCACTCATGTGACCAGGAGAGACAGAGTGCCTTGGAGGAGGCCAGGCAGAACCCCCGTGAGGGTATTGTCATCCCAGAGTGTGCTCCTGGCGGGCTGTACAAACCTGTGCAATGTCATCAGTCCACAGGGTACTGCTGGTGTGTCCTGGTGGACACGGGGCGCCCCTTGCCTGGTACTTCTACCCGGTGAGAGCAACTTGCTTTGAACCTGGCTTGTAAGGTGGAGCATGAAATAACTATGAAGGAGAGAACACCAGTTCAGAGAAAACAAGGGAACCAAAGAACCCAGGAATTGCCATACCAGAGTTATGCAGTTTAGGTTTCTGTTTACAACAGTAGATAATGCTCCAGTCAGCAACCAATGCAATTGGGCCTGAGTTGGGTGCTTAAGCCTCCTTGTCTAAATGACTATTCATGTTTTCTTAATATTTTCCCCTCTCCCTGGACCCAGTCTCTTCTACAGCCGAATAGACTAACTAGTATCACATATTTTTGTTATGTGCACTGAACTTGTCAGGGCTTAACTATAGGGCAAGGGGAAAGGACAAATCGAACAGAACACACACACAATTAAACTCAGAAGTACAGCTACACTATGAAGGATCTCCCTATCTCTATCACACACTGTGCTTTTCTAGTCTTTACCATTAGTTCAGCACAGGGAGCACCTTTAGATTAGTGAATGAAGCACGGGGGTGGAAATTGGGAAACCTTAGTTCTGTTCCTGGCTGTGCCACTGACTAACTGTCAAGTCACTTCACCTCTCTCTGCTTCAGTTTCTCCATCTGTAAAATGGGGTTAATGAGAGCCGAAAAGCTCTGGGAGACTTAGGGATGAAAAGTGCTATAGGAGTGCTAAGTATTATTACTTGCAGGGTGAGAGGCAGAGGAAGAGGAAACACACGTACAGAATGTGTGTGTTTGCCCACGTGAATGCACACTTTTTTAATCCCACTGATGGATACTGTACTTGAAGTGGAGAAGAATGCATCTTTCACTCCAGTTGTGTGCACTGGACTCAGTGAAGCAGAGAGGAAAGGACCTGTATTATAGCATATATAGTAGCACCCATCAAACTTAGGGATTTGTCAAGGCTTTCATTATCACTCACTGTTTTCACATGCTCTTAATGTTCTGACAAATGCAGCCTTCTGGCTGAAATATGCCATGTTCACTCCAAGTTCTTTTTTTGCAGAATCCAGTAACCTAAGTGAGAGTTAATGTAAATGTGAAGTAAACAGCCACTTCCTATATAAACTACACTTGAAGACTCTTTTTTGCTCACACACAGCTCAAATACAGCTGAATTTTACAACTTGAAATGCTCAGAATGGCTGGTCCTCTCTGAGGACTGGGCCTGGTTTTTATCTGCAAAGAAAAGAACACCACCAATGAGTTCTAGACACTTGGAAACTTGGTTTTCCTGAGTGATGGTAGCAGTGGCTTAGGTTGAAGTTAGCAACACTGATACTAACTATCACACTAAGGGCTCAGTTGCATTGGATAGGCACGTGTCTGCATCATGGAGGAGCAGAGCCCCCACGGGAGGAAATTCAGGAGCCCTTTACTGCACAGGGGGAGCGTTACTGCTGCCCATCCTTCAGGGTGGTACAGCATGCTTCTCTTTTTTTCTGCCCAGCCAGCAAAGATGGCCAATGCAGAGGAGAAATGGCCCTGCAGCCTCCTCATACCTGCTCTCTTTGAGCTGGCTTGTAGACCTGGAGCGTTAGAAGAAAACAGTCCCTGTGTTCAGAGGCACACAAGCCGCAGGCCTGTTATCTCTGGCCACTGACTGGGTGGTACAACAGGGAAGAAAGTGGCTTGCATTATCCCCACTCTTGTGTATCCATGTAGTGGCCAGGAATAGTCTGACCCTACGTTGTCATGACTAGTACTGCTCTAGAAAGCTCTCGGAGAACTGCATGTGCAGTCAGATTTCAATACAGAAACAGATTCTTTATTGAAATCTTTATGCTCCTGGGCATCATAAAGCTCTCCAGGTGGGATCCTGTGTGCCGCACAACTTGAAAGCTCCACAGGAACAAATTGTGGGGCTAGCAAGCTTGGATAACTAGCCTCTGTGAGTTTGAACCTGGCTCTGTCAGCAGTAGTGAGTCTGTGGACACAGCTGCGGTAGAGAAGGGCAGAGAGAGGTAGCTATTTGAGACTTTTTGAAGAGAGGGAACCGAACTTGAACTGTTTGAACTGGCAGCTAGTATAGCTCCTGGAGATGCTCTTATTGGTCTGCTCTATTTAATAGACAAGCTGCTGCATGCTGAAATGTGTACTCTGCAGGTGGTCATCTGAATCAAGGCAAGGTACAATGCATTGCCCTCCCCCCATCTCAAGGTTGCAGAATGCCTGGCTTGCTGTACTTAGCTCACATCTAAGAGAAATGAGCATGACCTCCTGGCCAGCTAAAGTTCAAAAGATTATCTTGGCCATCTAGGCAACCGCTGATAGTGAACAGTTCTTGAGGACCCCAAGGGTTGACCGCTCTCTGATAACCAAAGGGAAGAGGCCTGGGATAGAAGGCAAAATTACATTCATGCTGATTCCTCTAAGTGCTCCCCTCTTCCTACAAGCATCACACTGGTCATATGCAGATTGAACCTGAGACAATTTATTTCTCACCGGGATTCCTGTTTTTTGTTTTTTTCCTCTGCACTGAGCCGATGAGGTGAGACTGAAATGTTCGCCAACGTCTTAATGACAACCTCATGTGTCTGAACCTCCTTCCCCTCTTCCTTTTCCAGCTATGAGACCCCGGTGTGTGAAAGTGATGCCAGATCGAAGAGCACAGAGATTGACGATCCATTCAAGGACCGAGAGCTTCCAGGTTAGAGTGGAGCAGACATCAGTCTGTCATTAATGTGGGTTACGTGAGAGAAAGGGAAAGTCCATGCATTGTTTAGGAGAATGGGGATTTACTGTATGTTTATGTTTTAGCATGGGTTTTCGTGCTGATTTTGTGTGTGTGTGTGTGTGTGTGTGTGTGTGTGTTATGGTCTACACCTTTTGGCGTCCATTCCAAGCAATGTACTAGAGGCACTACTGGTTTACAGAGGGTAGGGTGACCAGACAGCAAGTGTGAAAAATCAGGACGGGGGGTGGGGAGTAATAGGAGCCTATATAAGAAAAAGACCCAAAAATCGGGACTGTCCCTATAAAATCAGGACATCTGGTCACCCTAACAGAGTGGGATGTAAAAGCCTAAAATTTTCCTATGGGCTGGCTTGTCGCCTGCCTTCCCTCCCCTTCCTGGTGTATGTCTGCCATTTGAAAACAAAATACTGACACAGCAAAGCAGTATCTCTGAAAGAAAAATGGTATCCGTCTCTTGCTCAATGAGACTGTGGGAACCAGCAGGTTCAAGCTTGAGAGAGGTCATCTTTGAACCTTTGTCTGGACAGGGCCACTTTTCTCTAATCAGTGACACTTTCACAGCTTCAGCACCTACCTTTTGGCAGCCACCGCAGGTATCCGGTGACATAGTTGGCAATGACTGGCTGACCAACAACCAGTCCCTTGCTACTAATGCAGACAAAGGACAGTAGTGCTCCTGGTGTATGCTGATGCTTTGACCAATGCTGGCTGCTCAGTTAAGCTGGGCTGAATCCCTCCTTTCCAGCCTGCAGGTCCAGGTCTTCCCTTATCCCTGCCTGCTACAGGGCTCAGCTTGGTCGGTAGCTGCTCCTGGCCAACCAATCCCAGAATCTCACCTCTTTCCTTACAACTCAGAATGGTCCCCTCCCTGGAGTAGAAGGTGAAAATTGCATGCACCTCCTGGGGGATTGATTGTGTGTGTGTGTGAGAAGTGGTTCCTCACCATTTGAGGGCAGAGGATGAAAACGGCTTTCTCATCCACCTTTGTGTGCTCTAGTTGCTGCCTCCTTCCCTGCCCTTTGGGGAGAGAGGGTAAAAATTGGTCCCTTCCCTTCATTTGTATGGAGCTTGGACGTGGGGCAGAAATTGCAGGGTTGCCCCAACCTAGTGTGTGTGTATGCAAGAAAATAGCTGGGTGTATGGCTGTGCACACAGGAAAATACAGCTGTCTGAGAACAGAAGAATCATTGCTGCAGAGACCGCAGGTGGCAGAGGGGGGAGGGGGGGAGAGAGAGAGAGAGAGGGGCAAGTAGAAGTAATGAGCTGAGAGGGAAATGTTCATAGAATAGGAGGAGGAGGCAGAGAGAAACTGGGAAAGGGAGAAGGAGAAATTGAAATAACACAATTAAGAAAGGAGAGAACAAAACCTAGAGCACTAGGAGTTAGAGGGCAAAAAGGAAATAAAAGAACAACTTGCTCGTTAACCTTGTTGGAGAACTAGAATAAAGAAATTAATGCTGAAAAAGACAAGAAAAGATTTAAGATTCAGTAGAAGGAAAAAGAAAAGAGAAGTGGAGTGATAGAAAAGCTAAGGCAGGATAAATGTAAAGGAGGCATAGTCGCTTTCAAAAATCAGTTTATCAGAAGTGTAATGCCTAAATACGTGCACACAAATTGGGTAGTATGCTGGAATAAGGCTATGTCTACACTACAGACCTTACAGTGGCACAGCCCTACCACTACAGCTGCACCTCTGTAAGGTCTCCGATGTAACTGTTCTATGCTAACGGGAAAGACCTCTCCTGTCTGCATAATTTAAACCAGGAGCAACTCCTGCCGACATAGCGCTGTCCACGCTGGCGCTTTGTTGGTGAAACTTATGTTAGTCAGGGAGGGTCCAGTCTCCCATTACCCAGTATATCCTGGGTAATCAGGAAGAGGACCTTATCCCACTCTCTGCATTACAGAAAGAGGTTCTCCTCACCGGCATGTTCCAATGGACACATTGTATGGAAGTGGCATCTCAAGATGTCATGGACTTGAAGAAGAATCATTGCCTCATAAGTAACAGGTCACAGGGCCGGCTCTAGGTTTTTGCCACCCCAAGCTCCGAGAGGGGAAACCCCAAAAAAAAAAAAAAAACCACGAGTGGCCGGAATGCCGCCCCTGGAAATGTGCCTCCCCAAGCACGTGCTTGCTTTGCTGGTGCCTAGAGCTGGTCCTGACAGGTTATAATGGTTCTGAAACATAGAACCTATTTTCAAGGATGTTTCCTCAATGAGGGAAGCAAATGAATCAGTTCTGCAATCTATTAACGAAGGGGTGAGGTAGAGGATCTCTGCCCCAAATACTTAGTGGGGCTTGAGGAGAGAGTCCCTGCCTGGGCTTTTCATGGAGCATCAAGGAAAAGGGGTTTGGGGAGGGACGGATGGCCCCTGCCTAAGCCCCACCCTCAATTAATGTAGGTGGCCACTCGTAGTGCCCCCCATCTCTCAAACTCCCAGGTACAATTAATTTGGGCTGCTTGTCCTCCCCCGTAGGATTTTGGCTGCTATCCACTCCCTGTCTCCCAGGCACCCTGTTGTGTGCGCTCCCCACAGAGCTGTCCTCCCAGCTGCTGTTACTCTGCCTCCTGCTCCTCTCTCACCCTTCTAAGGAACAGAAAGAAGGTGCCCAATTGCTCAGAGACCAACCTTATTTTCCCAAAAGGGAGGGAGAGAGGTTGGGAGGAGGGAGTGGAGCCTTCCAGCCTATAAAGAGCCCAGTAGCTCGGGGCCTGCTTCACTTCTTGCTCTCCATCCTTTTTGCTTCTGGCCTCCTTCCCTGGAACCTTCTCTCTGCTCCTTGTGGAAGGGGAGGGGTCTAGAGCTTCCAGAAAAGAGCATCTCTTCTTCCTTTGCCCCAGCCCCAGCTACTGCTCCCTGTCCTTTGGGACACTGCTTGAGAATGCGGCGCAGCAGGACAGGTGGCAGAAACCACTGTAATGGGGAGGGTACTGCATACTGTGGCACAGATGCGGTGTGGTCTCAATGGCAGATTCTGCTAATGTGAATCCCCTGCAGCTTCCCCTTTCTTCCTCCCCAGTTGTATTGGGCAACTCCGTCAGCTAGATGCTTGGGTGTATTCACTTGCACTACGGTTATTGTCGTTGCTGCTCAGGAACCCCCCAGAGGGTTGTTGATCCCAGCTGCAAACTGAGAACTGCTGTGGTTCTTGTTCATTTGTGACTCCATTTATAGACTCATAGACTTTATGGCCAGAAGGGACCATCATGACCATCTAGTCTGACCTCCTGCACAATGCAGGCCACAGAACCTCACCCACCCACTCCTGTAATAGCTGAGTTACTGAAGTCCTCACATCCTGATTTAAAGACTTCAAGTTACAGAGAATCCACCATTTACACTAATTTAAACCTGCAAATGACCTGTGCTCCATGCTCCAGACACCTGGGAAAAAAATTCTCTGTAGTAACTGAGAGCCCTCCCCATCTAATGTCCCATCACCAGCCATTGGGGATATTTTGCTACAAACAGTCAGAGATCGGTTACGTGACATTGTAGGCAGTCTCATCATGCCATCCCATTTGATTCAGGCTGGAGATTTCTATCACATAGTCAGTGTATTAACTGGGCTTAGGTATGATGAGCCATTCGTGATCCACACAGTCACATCAAAAGAGTGAGGGAAGGAGAGGAGAGCTATAGGATATTCTGTTACTTTCCCATTCCCATTTGCTCCCCCTGCTGAGTAATACTCCCAAGTCAAACATGAGTGAGAATCTTCCCAATTACTCTTAATTGTCTGAGGGATGCCTTTATTGGAGGACTCGGTGAGGTTGTCCAAAGGGTCACCCCATCCTTTGCCACCTACATTACTGCAGCCACTACATTAATTGCCCCCTCATAAAAAATCCTGCAGATACCAAGGGGAGAGAAACTTACACACCCACACACGTGTGTACACACACACATACTATGCTATACAAATCATGTCATGGCTGCTTCCACAAGAACCAGAAGAAAGAAGGAAGGAGAATTTGTCATTTGCTATCTGCAAGCAATTCTGCTAGTCCCAGCAGAGGGTGAGATGCTGAGACCCCTGGGAGATGACTTCTAGCAAATGTTTTTCCAACCTTCTCATTTCTGCAACAAAAAGCTCTTTTGAGTGGTCTACTCCTGCTGCCATAGCAGCTTACCCTTTACGTTGCTGACATTTTCTGGACTGCCTGCCAAATGAGTGCTAAGGGGCGGGTGAGTGTGTTTAATATACATGATATGGGGAGATGCTAGTGACTGTTTTCCTTAGGTTGGGTATGGCAGAAAATTGAGCCTGCCTTAACAAAGGAGGAATTTAGTTATAATAATTTGCAAGTCACTTTCAGCTGTCAGAGTGATTGTGGTAAGTTTCTAGATCTTTGTCATGGGTCGTGTGTGTGCGTGTATGGGAACGCAGAAAATGTTGACAATGGTGCTCTGTGTGTGGGAGGCTGTCCTCCTGGCAGGGGTTACTGGGAGCATGCCAGGAATCAGCAGTGAACGCTGATTCTGCTCAACAGGGGAAGTTGGTGATCTGAGGCCATTACTAGACCCCAGAGGAGTCACCCAGTGAAGTGAGGAAGAAGGTAGACAACTGGGGGCACCAACCAGGAAAGAAGTGAACAGTAGTATTCATGCAAAACACAGTCAGATCTGGAGGTGGCTGGAATTAGCGAAGTACATGTGAGAGGCTAAAAGCTGCTCAAGGATTCTTCTACCTTTGATTAGAGACTTATTAAAGGTGCCATATTCGACCTTACAGAGACTATGCTATCTCCCCATTGAAGAAGGTTGAATCAGGGTAGGAGACTGACTTTCTGTGTTCTCAAGATACTCTTCCTCTTCACATTTTGCAGGCTGCCCAGAAGGGAAGAAAGTAGAATTTATTACCAGCTTATTAGATGCTCTGACTACGGACATGGTACAGGCCATTAACTCAGCTGCACCTGCTGGAGGTGGGAGGTGAGTCTGGAAAGCGTTCAGACGTGAATGAGACAGCTACAGATTTCTGGAGGTGTGTCAAGTGGGGTGGGGGTTTCTTGCTCTGAACTAGAGATCATTCGAATTCTACTGGATACAAGGAGAACTATTGCCACAGCTCCAAACTCTGTTTTGTCACTGTAACCCTGACCACTTGCCCCTGCAAGGTCAGCACATCCCATTTACAGTGTTTAATGAGAGCTCAATAGGAGGAAGTCACTTTGTCTTTCATCCTCTGGTGCATTAAGAGAGGCCTAATAAAATTCAGATCTGTTTATGGAGGCTCTGTGGACTAGTGGCTATAACGGGACTGAGAATCCGAATTCTTGTGTTGCCAACTCTTGCAATTTCATCTGGGGCTAGAGGCCCTCTGGCTATGATGTGAGAGGCTCCAGCCCTCTTGCAAATTTCAGCCATGCCCGGAGGCGCTGGAACAATTTTTATAGTGGGGTGCTGAGATCCATTGAGCTAAACTGTAAACCTTGTATATAAAGGAAACAACTTTAAGCTGGGGGTGTGGCAGCCCCACCAGTACCCCTAGTTCCAGCACCTATGGGGAAAACCCCTCTGACTGCCTTCGCCATGTCCCCACTTCTTGGGGAAGAGCAGCCAATCAAGCTGCTGTAGGAGGTAAGCAGAGTTCTCCCCCTTCCCTTTGGAGACACGAGGCATTCTTGGGTGGGAGAGGGGTAAGAAGGAGCAGCCGACACCATTCTCACAGGAGGGGAAGGAGAGGAGGGAGCAGAAACACCCCAGCAGCTCTGCTCCCCCTCCCCCCCCGAACAATGAGCCATTCTGCTCTTAGCTCCTCTCTCTCTCTGGAAAGGGGGAGAAGGGACCCTACTGTAGTCCCCCCTCCCCAGACCTGGGAGAGAGGGTTGAAGAATCCCTGGAGCTGCAGGAGGAGCAGAGGTGGTGCTGGGGGCAAAGGCAGAACTGAAGTGGGGCGTTGGGAGATGCCTAGTGAATTGCTGGGCTGGGAGAGGGGCAGATGTGGGGCTGGTTGGGGGGACACAATGAATTAACTGGAATGTTGGGCTTTGGGGAGAAGCTGGGAGCTCTGTGCCGGCAGGCTGGCAGTGAGGCCTCCTGCAGCTGATGTCAACATCACCTCACTGTGTACATTTGGGAGAGCTGGCTACACCGTTTAAATTGCCATGTACACATTGGGGGTTGGCAGGGGGAGTTCAAACCTCAAAAGACAGGCCAACCCCCCCCCCCAATGCAATCTTTTAAATAAATCTCATGATATGTTGAGGGGTGGCTTATGATTCCTGAACTTCTGGGGTTGGCATCACGGGGTTCTGTTTCCAGCTCTTCCACGGATGGTGTGTGAGATGTCAGGCAGCCTTTTAACTTCTTCATGCCTCTGGTTGCACATCTGTAAAGTGGGATAACAACACTGTCCTACCGCACAGAAATGTTGTGAGGATTAATATGTTGGTGTTAGTGAAGTCTTGGTGTATAGAAAGGCAAAGGATTATTATTCTGGTTTATGTATGATCTGCTGGATAACACTGAAGTGTTTAATGCCAGCAGAAAGTGCAGGTTGAAGTATTTAGAGGTGTGCAGGACAGACATGCACATATGTGTGTGTTTTATTTAGGGCAGTCACGCTGGCATACCCTATTGCTCCAGAGAAAGTGAGAGCCATGCATGTGTTTGATGTTGGAGGGTCAATGTGCAAATGTCCCCGACTTTCATCTTTGAAGATACTGAAGGGAGCAGAATGGTCTCTAATTGCCTGACATAAATATTTGTTTCTGAGGGTTTCACCTTATGCCCAGTTATACCAGTATTGGTAGTTGTGCATCAATATCTAGTTAAAGTCCACTGAATCACCGTGGTGGCTGAGGGCCTATGAACTGAATACTGTACAGTCCATCAGGTACCAATATGCCTGGCATATCAGAATGCATACAAACAGAATGAAAAACGTTTGTACAGTAGTATAAGTTAAATACGCTAGAGTGGAAACAATCTGTCCCTTCCTAGATATAAGCATTCCAAATGCCAATTTTGGGAAATTTGCATGGTACAAAAACAGTGGATGTGGGTAAAGGAAAGCCCTCGAGAATATTTCATATTTATTTAGCATCCCTTTTGGATTTCTCTGTCAGCACTCTTGCAAATAAAGTTGACCACAAAGCAGTATTGTAGGAAGGAGAGATGTCCAGAAGGACCAACTACCTTTCTAAAAACCTTGCAAGCTTACTTCCTAAGTCCTCAAAGTGTTGTGTATTTCTAACCTTTTAATGGGGCCCTTCTGGCAGCATCCTTCACTATCTTGCTTTTCACAATCTTCATGTTGATTTATTTCAAGCTACAGTGTCAACAGCCCGTGCGCAAGGGGAAAAAGAAACCTTTCAACAGCCCTCTCCAAGCGAGGCAAATTGCTCCACCACCCAAATATTTTGCATGCCTGCAGCCATAATTAAATGCAAGAAACTCCTCTGGCGTAAACTTCCACATGCACCAGGCCATCTCCAAAGGGAGTGCGTCCAACTTTTCCATTGTACCACACCATTCTGGTGACATATATCTTGCAGAGAAAGCATCTTAGGAATCAGAGACTTTGAAATAAATAATATATTGGTACAATTTTTATTTTGGATCTCTGAGTCTGCAGAGTTAGTGCTGCAGTCCCACTGTACAGTCGTCCCGGGGTGGGGGAAATTCTAGTACACTTCAGAAATTTCTAAAAATGACCTCAAATTGTTCTTTTATTCTCTCTAATATTTTATCTACAAGATCCAACTTCTCACCAGTGCTAGAAACGAAATGTTTGTCCTAGTAGAAAGAGGTGTTCCTAACTCTCAAAGGCTAAAACACTCATTATTAGCCCTGACAATTTGTGACATGTTCAGTTTATGAGATACTGGACCAAAACCTTGCCACTGTGCCCATAATAAATGTTAATTTTGCACTTCTCTGACCAGGCAGGGCACATCTGAGAGGAAAGAAGAAAAATATGGTGGGTCTGTTTGTTTATTTTTTTTAATGTCAGCTGAGGTGATCAAAGTTGTGAGACAAATTGCATTTACTGTGTGGCCATCACCACCCATATTATAACTATAGCAGCCAGAATCACTCCAACTAAGCTTGCGCAACAGTTTCCATTCTAACACCCTTTTCTGCTTTCTCATAACTTTACGACACTTTCATCTTTCAGGCTGAAATTTCCAGTGCTTGCTGTCTGCCCAAATAGGCTGTCACTGCCACCCCACTTTTATTTTATTTTTTTAAGTTTGAGCAAAAATAGCCAATGGTCTGAAGCAAATGTAAAATCATTGCTGATAACATTTCTGGATGACACAAAGATTCGCAGAATGGTACATGATCATGAGGATAGGGCAGTCATATTGAGTAGAGCTGGGCAGGAAATAGTTTTCTCATCCCGCTGAAATGTTTGAGATTTCAAAAATGTTCCTGTTCGGTATCAGGACCAAACCAAGACCTTTTGAAGTTTTTTGATGTAAAAAGAGACAGAAAGCTAAAAGGTCTGTTTTGGAATACCCAATAGCCCAATGGTTAGGGCACTTGCATGGGATTCTGGAGATCCAGGTTTAAGTCCCAACTCTGCCTGATTCAGACCAAGGATGTGAATCTTGATCTCCCACATCCCGGGTGAGTACCCTGACTACTGGGCTGTTGGCTATTCGGAGGGTGGGATCATCTCTCCATCCTAGACCTGAGAAACTTTTCCCAATGGAAGCTACATGAAAACTGGTGTATGTTCCCTCAAAAAGTTTTGGTTTCAGGGAATTGGCATTTTCCAAGGAAAAACTGTTTCATTGAAAATTTCCTGATCAACTCTCTATTAGTCATTTGTAGCAGCCCAGAAGTGAATTATGCAAAAGAAATTGTCAAATAAAATCTTTAAAAATAGGTTTTGTAGTTTATTTTGTTATCCCTGGTTTTTAAGGTTCGTTTGTATTTATTATTTCAGGCTTCCCAAGGCCTTGGGGCAGGGCCTTCCCTTCAAATATCTATTTTTTATCACTTGTAAAGCTGCTTGAGAAGCTTGCCAGTGATCACCATCTTCCCCCAGACTTCCCTTCCATGCCATGCTGTAGACTTCCCCTCCTTACCATTCTGAATTAAAGTGCAGATTGATGAGGTGGTTGTTTTTCACTTACCTAAACAACAGTATCTGCTTTGTAGAAGGATGCTGAGAAGGCTGGAGGGCCCAAAATACGGCAGCCCTTTCTGTCCCCCAGCTGCACAACAGAGAAGATGTCATCCTTGCCCTTTTCAAATGGATCCCTGATACAGAAGAGACCACTAGTCTCTAAAACTATCACCAGTCTTGTTTCAATGTCTTCAGAAGCTTCACCTATAATGGGATTGAACCTAGGTATTTATACTGCACCCACAACCATAGACCCAGACAGGAATCTGAATTTATAATTCACCCAACCTTCCTATCACCATTGGGGTGGAGTAAAACAGCATGCTTGGAATCTGGGCTCACTTCTGGAGGTCATCTTACAGCAGTAAGCCAGAGGTAGAGCACCAGGCGGCAGTGCAGCCATGTAATTACTGCCCACCAGCTACTTTCTGGGGAGGGCTGGCTGAGCTACTTCACTTTTGAGAAAGAGACTAAAGTCTTTGCCCTGGTTTAGTCTTAATCTGTCTTGGCCCCTTCTCTACCCCCACTTGCAGAGGAAAGAAAAACGGAGGCTACCTCTGGAAGCCATTCAGCTTTTATAGCATCGTTCCCTTGAACACATTTTGTTTCCTCCTCATTGAGAACTGTTTATTTGCTGCTGTTAGGCAGCATGCGGTGCACAAGACATTGTTTGGGGTTTTTCTTTTTTAATGGCTCCACAAAAACAGTGGCTATTTTCCTCACCATTCTTCTCTGGTGAAATAATGATTTGAAATTGAAAGCTGCTGGTCCTGACCCCTTGATTTTTCATCACAGTTTTTCTTTCTCCCTCGCTCTGCTCCTCTTTTCACAGATGCAGAATGTGAACCCACTAGTGTTGCATCAAACCTGCAATTTGGAGTTTGAAATGAGGCAAAACGAGTTTGCCTATTCCTTCTTAATGGATTTGTGGCATTTGCCTGCTGCAGTATTGAATAGTGCCTTAAAACAATGTGAAAACAGTTTTAAAAAATGCAGTGAATAAAATACGTGAGGCAAGATCACATAAACAGACACAGCAAAATTGCCCAAGACTTTTTCAAATAAATAAATGCGTCTTGCATTAAATCAATTCAAATTGATTTGGATCTTGAGTTGGATCTTGTTCCTAGTGATTGGGGTCCACATCATATAAACCACTGTCACACTTGGCACTAATTGTTCCCTTCGCCGGCAGTCTCAGCTGAGAGACCAAGGACTAAATGGGCCATGAAGACTGAACTGTGGTCTCACTCAAGAGCCCTCTGGGATAAGGCTGAGGCACAGTGCTTGGGAGAAAGTGGTAGGGAAGTTTGTATTGCTGCTGCCCGGGTGATCCCTGATCGGTGGATACAGAAAGGATGTCTGTCATTAGGGCTGTCCATCTGCTACCTTTCAGTGGTGTGCAAATTCTTTGTCTGTTTATGCCTCTCCCAAACCAGTGCTAGTCCATGAAACTTAATTATAGAGGGAGGAGTTTTGAAACCTGTGATCAGAGGATCATTTACCCAGGGTACCTAGCCTACTCTAGAAATAAGCCTTCCAGACCAGGAATCTGCTTCTCCTTGTCATAGGAGGCAAAATACGTTACAGGTTGTCATAAACGGAGAAAGGGATGTGGCCGGGCAAAAGGCACTTAGTCATTAACAAGAGCATCCCGGCTGTTTGGGGGCCTGTGTATTTTGTTTTCTAGGTTCTCTGAGCCGGATCCCAGCCACACGCTGGAGGAGCGGGTGGTACATTGGTACTTCAGCCAGCTGGACAACAATAGCAGCAGTGATATCAACAAGCGGGAGATGAAGCCCTTTAAGCGGTACGTGAAGAAGAAAGCCAAGCCCAAGAAATGTGCTCGACGCTTCGCCGACTACTGTGACCTCAACAAGGACAAGTCTATCTCGCTGCAGGAGCTGAAGGGGTGCTTGGGAGTCAGCAAGGAAGGAGGTGAGCCATTTTCCTTTCAGAACTGGAGCAACAAGGCAGCCAGCTGTGCTGAGTTAAAACAAAATCAGCAACATGGCATTGAAGGTTTGAGCTGCTCAGCTTACAGGCAAAAAGATGGGCGCAGCTAGCAGCCAGCCCTGCAAACGCCCTTCATTCTTGTTGTTTTATTATTTGTTTTGTGATGGCGCTTAAGGGAAGGAAGGGGCATAGCCAGTGGGGTTCACCACAGGAAATTCTGTAGGTCTAACATGCTGTGTAGGGGCATACGTGCCCCTTGGCTACAATTACTGCTCCTGGGCCAAGCCATTGGGATGTGTGTGCATGTGCACATGCCTTTCTCCCAGTCAGCCGGGTCTTTGATGCCACATGCAAAACTCATTTGCAACAGATTAGCACTGGGTGGTTGCATTTGGTTGTTAGCACCTTAATATTACTGTTATATCTTCTATGTGCATTACAAACTTTAATTAATGCAAGCCTGTAACGTTGCTGGTCCACAGTGCTAAAGCAACCGGCTTCCCTAGTTTAATGGAAGCTTTTCCCTGCTCCCCAGTAATTTGCCGTGGAATAATATACAATAATAGTAACTGTATTCCTTAATTTTATTACCTTCTTCCACTAAGATTAATGTGAAAAATCAGTATTAGAGCTATCTGGCTTTAGAATGTTTCAAAGAGTTCCACAGGATGACTGTGTGTTGTGTGAAGAAATACTTCCTTATGTTTTGTTTTAAACCTGCTGCCTGTTAATTTCATTGGGTGACCCCTAGTTCTTGTGTTATGAGAAGGAATAAATAACACTTCATTATTTATTTTCTCCACGGCAGTCATGATTTTACCTCTATCATATCTCTCCCTTAATGGTCTCTTTTTCCAAGCTGAAAAGTCCCACACATATTAATCTCTTATATGGAAGCTGTTCCATACCCCTGATCATTTTTGTTGCCCTTTTCTGAACCTTTTCCAATTCCAATATATCTTTTCTTGAGATAAGGTGTCCAGATATGAACACAGTATTCAAGATGTGGGTGTACCATGGACTTACATAGAGGCAATATGATATTTTCTGATGTATCTATCCCTTTCCTAATGGTTCCTAGCACTCTGTTAGCATGCACAAGTAGGATGGGGGAGTCTTTTTGGGGGGAAAGGGGTGGAGGCACAATACTGAGCATTTGAGAGTGACATGGAGGATATTATAGAGGGGGGGGATCCTGGGACACAGAATCTTCCTTTGACGTTTCTTCTCTCTTCTGTGTGGTTAAAGAGATGGCATTAAACAACCAATTAAAGAAGCAAAGAGTCTGTGAAGGATTGAAGGGCAGGTTGGCTCTGCCTCTCTCCTTTGTAGTCTTCCCACTTTAAAAATAGCCAGTAGCTCGTCCCTCACCCCACTCCACCTTTCCCTGCCACTGTGTCTGCACTCGAGCCGGAAAGTGTCAATCCCAGCTTGAGGAGACATACCCACACTAGCTCTGATTGAGCTAGCCCACTAAAATTAGAAGTGTAGCCTCCATGGCACCAGGAGCTTGCCACCCTGAGTACATACCTATGGGCTCAGACGGGATCGTACTCAGGGCTGCTAGCCTCTCACGCACTTATGGTAGAAAGATCGCTCGGGGCTAAGGAGTGGAGTTGTCTGCCCGCCATATTAGATCTTCAGTATCAATTTACCTGGAGTTTTCCCACTTGTGTTTTTAAAGATAAGCAGGTTTAAATGAATGTCACTATCAGCAGTCTGGCTCTGCAATACCAAGTTTGAATGCAAAGGGCTTTCTCTAGCATCTCCTTGTTCATGTGCAAATTCTGCCTGGCCTAAGAGGAGGAGTAGACAATCTCTGTAAAAGCAGTTACCTGTTTAAGATCAGGAGGGGAAATAAAACCTTTGAGAGTTACTGAAGTGTAGCCTTCAGTTTGTTTTCAACCATATTCAAACGGTACAGTTGCAATAACACAGACTCGCAGAGAAATTTTTGAAATTCCCACGGAAGGTCAAACTGCCATGGGAGAGCAGGCTTGGCTTCTGAGTTCTTGCTCATCAGACTCACATGCAATGGTGGAGGCGTTGCTTTGGGGTGCACAAGGTGCCTTACTATATTATAGAATGAACAGTGCCTTGGTGGGTCTGAAAAGCTATTCTGTCGTGTGATTTCCACTAGTGAGAGTTCAGGGGTAAGCAGGTGTATGACAATGCTTTAAATTCATGTGTGTGTTGGTGGGAGGAATAGGAAGGGTGCTTGCTTCTGTAGGACACCCAAAATATTCAGAGGAAAAAAGATAGCACTTCAGAGAGCCAAACCCACTGCAGTTAATTGTGGTTTCAAGCAGTACTGAGCAATACCCTCTAGAGGCCTCTGCAGGAGGTGTCAGCCAGTTGGTGACACCCAGATCTATATTAAAAACAACAAGGAGTCTGGTGGCACCTTAAAGACTAACCGATTTATTTGGTCATAAGCTTTTGTGGGTAAAAAACAACAACACTTCTTCAGATGCAGATCTGTATGTGTGTCTAAGCTAAAAGAAGGAGAAACTCATAGAGATCCTGAATTTTTATTGCCAGGATCCTGAGCAGGGTCCCAGTTAGCTATGGAAGAATCTACCTTTTGACAACAGAGCTCAGCTTTTTTTTCTTCTACACTCTGACCCACAGGCAATGAAATAAGTTAGCTAGAACTTCTCTGACCTTGCTAGGACAGGTGGCTGGCACGAAACTGGCGTTCTGGGGGGCTTTAAATAACTTAACATATTTATTCAGTTCCTCTTATTAATGATTTAAATAATCCAGCAGGTTTGTATTGTGGGTTCTAATTTAAACTCCACTATCTCCCTGACTCTCTCTTTCTCCATTCTCTTCCGCATTCTACTGCTTGTGCCTCTGTCTCCACAGTTCTCCTGTGGCTCCCTCCCTCCATCCTTCTAAGTGTCCCCTTGTCCTTCTCCTGCACAGTCAGGACCAGATTTTCAAATGCTGGCATCCATTTGTGTGTGTGCAAATAATCAAAGCATACAGTTTTTTGCACATCCAGTTTAAATCACATAGACGTCAAAGTCCCTGAATTGTGCACGTCTGTCTCCAGCCCAGCATGGAAATGGGAAGCTCACTTGCTGATTCTGGCAGGAAATAGTTGTGCTGGGTTTCCTCAGATTTCCAGACGGTGACCAAAATTATCAAATATGGGTGCCTAAAAGCCAAATGTAGGCACCTATATGGAAATGGACTCACTTTCAGGTATGCTGTGCTCCTGCAGGTCCCACTGAATTCCCACTGAGAGTTGCAATGCTCAGTAGCTTTGAAAATCAGGCCACACCTCTCTAGGTGCCTGGGTATAGATATAGGTATCCAAGTGTGAACATTTTGGCCTAACTTTGTAGACACCAGACATTCAGATAAGTTTGGGCCATCCAGTCTATCTGAGCACCTTATAAAACTGTCCATTTCTCTTAGTGGCCTTTAGAGAACGCTGAGTGTTTTTCTTCTGTCCTGTTTTCCCGTAGTAGGAAGAAGTCTCAGGAACCTCATACCACTAAATATCTTTCAGTTCTTAATCCTCTCCCCCCTACTCAGGAGCAGGCAGAGAAGTTTAATTCTGGGATTTGGGGCTTCTTACCCAAACTGAACCTTTGGATTTCATGAGAGTCCCACATCACAATCTAAGATCTTAAATTGGATTAAAATGTAGATATTAAAAGTCTAACTCTAAGAGATGATGCAGGCCAGGACTGAGATGCACTGGCGGAGATAGGTGTGTGTAAAGTATAAGGGAATTTTGCACAGAGCCTGCCTATATTACTGCACCCAGCTGCAGTCAGCAATAGTCCTTCATTGTCATTAGCAGAGCAATCATTGCTTTTTCCTAAAATTTATCTCCAAAATTCAGAAGAATCAAAAACTGTTCACAGTGATAAGCAAATAATGTTCTTGGATTTTGCAGGTAGTGCTAGCAGTTTCCCCCATGGAAAAAGACAAGGCATTAACCCTTTCAGTAAGTATTTTATCTCTTATTTTTGTTTCCTTTTTCTTCTGTAGCACTCACATACCTCAAAATTCATGGCCAAATTCATGGGTCCCTCCCCATTTTCTTGCCTGACATCTGTCCAATGAGCTGACCTTGCAGTACAGTACTTCCCAGTACATACTGAGAGTAGCTAAGGCATGGAATTTGGAATCAGGGGACTGAGAGTTTCATTCCCCACCCTCCCAGTCAACATGTGTGAGTTTGGGTAACTTTTTAACTTGAGCATTAGTTTTCCAAACAGGGTAATAATATCCACTGTTTATAAAGTAGGTTATTAAGGAACCTTGATTTTACTTCAGGCCTTACTCTGCGGTGCTTCCTATTCAAATATATTTAAAATTTCCAAATGCCACAAATTGCATTTCAAAAGCCAGTTGAAGGACCTGGTAAATCTTATGTTGCCCACATAATAAACAAGCACATGATTCTTTTAAAGAATTAAGAAATGCAAATTTCTCACAAATTTGGTTGGTAAACGTAACTGTGTAGATGAATTAAGAGCTAGCTAACTGACTATTTTCTGAGATCTGTTAATGTGGAATAGAGCTGTTTCTAATGTGGTTCCATAAGGATTAGTAGGACTGATGCTATTCGACATTTATCAATGACCTGGAAGTAAATCACTTTTGATTTAAAATGTGGCTGACCCAAAGATTGGCAGAGTGGCAAATAATGATGAGGACAGGACAGTCATACAGAGCAATCTGGATTGCTTAGGAAGCTGGGCCCATTCAAACAAAATTCTTTTTAATACATCTGCAAGATCATACATCTAGTAACAAGGAATGTAGGCCATAGCCAGGGCTGGCTCCAGGCACCAGCCCACCAAGCTGGTGCTTGGGGCGGCACCTGGAGGGGGGCGGCGCGGCGCTCCGGCCCCCGGGGAGAGTGGGGCCACGGCCGGGCTCGCCGCCCTCCCCCTGGCGCTCTGGCCGCACTCCCCCCCGCGCCCTCCCCCCGGCCGCCGGG